CACACGTCTATGCATACATAAATACATACCAATATACATGGATGCATACATGCATACATAGATGCATATATACATATATACATGCATACATACATGCATGCATACATGCATACCCATGTACATTTATGTGTACACATATACACTCATGTATTATATGTGTAAATACAGATGCATACATACACTACATTACATTACATTACACTACATTACATTACATTACATTACATTACATTACAGTACATTGCATTAAAATACATTGCATTACACCACAATACAACACATGACACTACAGTACATTACATATATGCATATACACACACATACACATACACATACACATACAGATACACATACGTATATAAATGCAACAATAATAACGGTAGTAATACGGGTACTCAAAATAAGAATAATATGACCCCAGGGACGTGCCCGACTTCAAGCCAGGACGAAGCTAAAATCGAGCGAGGATACAGCGAGAATCTCTGAGACACAGCAAGACGTCTGGGGCGCCGCGGCCTTCTCAGAGCGCTCCAGAGCGGTCTGAGAGCGTTCTGGAACGCTCTGGAACGGACTGATCCTCGTCCTGGCCCCGTCCGACCACCCCCCCTTGGATCCTCGAGCGCCAACCCTCGCTGTCGCCGTCGCAGACGCCGCCGCCGCCGCCGCCGCCTGTCGCCGTATCCGTCGCCATCTCCATCTCCGTCGCCGTCGACGTTGGCGTCCAATCCCCCCCCTCGGAGCTCGAAGCTGCGGACTGGCCAGAGCGACGCCCTCCTCCTCCTCCTCCTCCTCCTCCTCCTCCTCCTCCTCCTCCTCCTCCTCCTCCTCCCCAAGCATACGACGAGCTGTCCTTGCAGGCGGCCCCGAGAGGTCTCGACCCCTTCCCTGGAGCCAGTACTCCGCCCCAGAGTCATGATTAAGTCGGGCGTGTCCGCCTACAGGGGGATGTTGGGCGAAAAATAAAACATGATCGACCCACGAACCCGGAAAGGAATATAGAAATGTAACGCATGGCAGCGTTTTTAAAGACACCTGGTTGGGTGACGGGCAAGTGCAATGCTGATTGTATCGATCTTGATGTACCGTGCCGAGGGCTGTGCTGTGCTGCACCGTGCTGAATTGCGATGTGCCATGCCGCGGTTGTGCTCTATAGCGTCGTGGATCGAGTCTTCCTTTGCATCCGAGTCCTGACCGAACTGATCTGGATCTGAAGCTCGAGCTGCCTGAACACATAGTAGCTGCCCCAGAGCTAATTGACAGGGGGACATGCCAGGAGGACGCGCGCGAAACGTCCCAAGGGACGCGCCAGGCGACGTGCCAAGGGACGTGCCATGGGGTCGCACCGTAGGACGTGCAAAGGGGACGCGCTACGGAACGTGCCAATGGATGTGCCACGGGATGTGCCAGGGGACCGCCACGCGACGTGCCAGGGGGACTCGCCAAGGGACGCCCCACGGAACGTGCCAAGGAACGTGCCAAATTGCAATGCTGAGTGTATCGATCTTGATGTACCGTGCCGAGGGCTGTGCTGTGCTGCGCCGTGCTGAATTGCGATGTGCCATGGCGCGATTGTGCTCTATAGCCTCGTGGATCGAGTCCTCCTTTGCATCCGAGTCCTGACCGAACTGATCTGGATCTGAAGCTCGAGCTGCCTGAACACATAGTAGCTGCCCCAGAGCTAATTGACAGGGGGACATGCCAGGAGGACGCGCCGCGAAACGTCCCAAGGGATGCGCCAGGCGACGTGCCAGGGGACGTGCCATGGGGTCGCACCGCGGGACGTGCCAAGGGGACGCGCTACGGAACGTGCCAATGGATGTGCCACGGGATGTGCCAGGGGACGCGCCACGCGACGTGCCAAGGGGACTCGCCAAGGGACGCCCCACGGAACTTGCCAAGGAACGTGCCAAGTTGCAATGCTGAAGGTATCGATCTTGATGTACCGTGCCGGAATCTGTGCTGTGCTGCGCCGTGCTGGATTGCGATGTGCTATGGCGCGATTGTGCTCTATAGCCTCGTGGATCGAGTCCTCCTTTGCATCCGAGTCCTGACCGAACTGATCTGGATCTTAAGCTCGAGCTGCCTGAACACATAGTAGCTGCCCCAGAGCTAATGGACAGGGGAGCATGCCAGGAGGACGCGCCGCGAAACGTCCCAAGGGATGCGCCAAGCGACGTGCCAAGGGACGCGTCATGGGGACGCACCGCGGGACGTGCCAAGGGGACGCGCTACGGAACGTGCTGGGGACAAGCGTTTCGCTCGAGACATCCTTTCAAAATCCTCAGAATTCCTGCGCGCGGGACCGGGGCGTGGTCGTGCTGGGGGGTGGTCGTGCTGGGGGGTGGTCGTGCTGGGGGTGTGGTCGTGCTGGGAGGTGGTCGTGCTGGGGCGTGGTCGTGCTGGGGCGTGGTCGTGCTGGGGCGTGGTCGTGCTGGGGTGTGGTCGTGCTGTGGTGAGGTCGTGCTGGGGTGTGGTCGTGCTGGGGTGTGGTCTTGCTGGGGTAGGGTCGTGCTGGGGTCGGGTCGTGCTGGGGTGTGGTCGTGCTGGGGTATGGTCGTGCTGGGGTGGGGTCGTGCTGGGGTGGGGTCGTGCTGGGGTCTGGTCGTGCTGGGGTGTGGTCGTGCTGGGGTATGGTCGTGCTAGGGTGGGGTCGTGCATTTCGCTCGAGACATCCTGCCAAAATTCCAGGAAATCGTACAAAAACAAACGAATTAGTCGAGACATCATCGAAATTCCTTCGCGCGGGGCGCTTTTCCGCGTCGCGGTCGGCTCTGCAAAACAAGCGTTTCGCTCGAGACATCCTCGGCAAACTCTGCGGAGCAAGCGTTTCGCTCGAGACATCCTCAACACACGAAAAAGTGGCCCGCACCCTGTGATTTATCGATCGGGATTTCAAAAACAAGCGTTTCGCTCGAGACATCCTCAAATTTTAATTCGCCGGCCTCCTTCGACCTCGTTATTTATCAGGGAAAAAATTCGCCGGCCTCCCTCAAGTTGGCACCGGGGGACAGGTTTACCAACTAAAAGAGAACCCTGGGCTCATGCCCTTTCCGGGAAAATACTCAACAAAAAAAACCCAAATGGGCAAAAACAGTCAAGAAGTCGTCCCGAAATTATTGTTTCACTAGTTTTGAATATTCCTCCTGTAGAGGGACAGGCCCGACTTGAAGTCAAGATTCATGATGGTCCCCGGACCTGGAAGCGGCTTCCACGCGCCGAAATCGAGGAAAAGCGCCACATTGGCTCAAGCCCACGGAAGGCAACCAGAAATGATTGCCCACCAGAGGCAGATTTCCCCCGTGAAACCGCAAGCGTCTGAAGGCAGACATGTTTGCCTTCAGAACTGTTTCCACCTCCCAGCAAGGTGCACCCGCTGAAATGCACACCACGAGGCAGAAAGGCCTGCTTCGACCGACGAGTCACCCTGCCCGCAACCCGAACCCCCGAAGAAACGAGAGAGCGCTGCACCGAAATCCTGGTCAGAACGCGCACCAGGAGAGGCTCGGGAGGCGACTCCGAGATCGGGACGATCGGGACAGGTGCTGAAAGAATTGGTACAAAGACCGACGGCAGCCCCTGTCCATTTGGAACAGGACTCGCTGTCCGCGCCGCCGCGGACGCTGTTTACTGAAACAACAAGCCGCCTACCCAACAGCGGCCGCTGTCGGTCTTGGACAACATTTCTGGCTGGGCATCGTACCGATACTGAAGGTTCGCGCCGTGCCGACTTCGGCGTTGATCCCTGACACCGCGAGGATCGTTCAACCCTGAACGATCGGCGGCTTCCAAAAAAACGTCAAACCGTTCCACTTCGGCCGATTCTGGGCCGCCGCCGGCGCTCTCAACGTTGAACGCCGGCGGCGGAGTCGCCGCCGGTCGACACGACACGAACCCACCGTACCCGTTTCGGGCGTCCACGTGCGGGGAGGGCGGTTGGGGCCGTAGGCGACCCGAGGAAGGGAGGGTGAGGAGGGGGAGGAGGGGGACGAGAAGGAGGAGGACCAGTGTAAACCCAAGAGTCATCAACGACGTGGGAATTAAGCTTCCCTCCAAGTTCCCTCTTCGCAGGCCCCTACAACGGTTCATTTCCATTGAGGGAACTGCCTCGTTGGAAGACAACAATTTGAAGATCCTGAAGCATGCCAAAACATTGTTCTCGAGAAGATTTCAACGCCACACATAAACCTGACTGCTGCCTCTTGACGATCCGGAATCGTACCAGAGCGTCATTTGTGGGAATTCAACACCCCGAATCAACATAATTGGTGCACCCGCAAAATCCTCAATCCTTCCAAAACACCTTTTCTGGTACGTTGATCATGGGGATCCGTGACACCCTTGCAATTGTTTCAAGCGAGTGTGCACGGCGCTAGCGCGAGAGCCACATTATGAAAAGGAACCGCCTGCAACCCGTGAAACTATTGCAAATGTATGAAACGAATGTGCGGGCGCTAAGGCGAGATCACAAATGGTGAGGATGTCTGAGTCGAAACGCCCGGCCCGCCCTCAAAACAGGCCTCGGGGTGCGACAGGGAGAGGTTATCCATAATGAGAAGGAATGGGGGAGGAGGAGGAGGAGGAGGAGGGAGGAGGAGGAGGAGGAGGATCGAGGAGGATCGAGGAGAAGGAGGAGGAGGAGGAGGCGGAGGAGGGCACGCTGCATGCCCCCCTCCCCCCTCGCGCCCCCCCCCCCACACACCTCCGAGATCGGGGGGCCTCTGCCCGCCCCCGCCCTCTTCGGCTCCGCCACCCCCGCCGCCGCCGTGAGAGAGCCCCCCGCAGCGCGCCGCGCCGCCAGCGGCCCGGTCACCCCGCGCGGCTTCCCCCGGGGTCGTAGGTGAATCCGAGAGACCCTGAAACACCGAAAACCGAAAGGAAGAGCCCCATAACAGCACATTCCAGAGATGTCCATGGGCTTTGCGCAGATCTTCACGTTCTCGCCACTTCCGACCGGGCCGCGACGGGTCGCCCAAGCCCTTCGGGGAAACCGCCCAGCCTGG